TCTCTTCTTTACTCACAGGACACGCTCTTGGATTCTGGCATGAGCAGTCCAGGCCAGACAGAGATCGTTACGTCAGGATTTACTGGAGGAATATCCAACCAGGTGACTGACCTTATTCGGGCCTTATTCCTGTAGAAATAAAATGAGATTGTGCATTCTAGCATTCTAGCATTCTAGCATTCTGTGGGCTGCGGAAACTGGGCTAGAAGTCAACAGTGTTTAATGCAGTGTAGGACCTTGTCAGTGAAAGACTGAGTTGCTAAATACATGACGAAATACCACGAATCAATCACAGTGCTCTAATACATACTCAACTAAATGAGTTATAGTAACAGTTTCATGTCACGATGATGACTCTTCACGTCACGTCACGTCACGTCGCGTCGCGTCACGTTACGCTACGTCGCGTAACGAAACAATTCATTACGCACTCACTCCCTGGCTTTCCATTGAATCCTCTGTCTTCTATCTTCTGTATTGATCCTAGAATTCAAATATGCCTTTGAAAAGTACGATGATGGCCGTATCAACAGCCTGGGTGTTCCTTACGACTATGACAGTATCATGCATTACCGTTCCACAGCTTTTGGTCAAGGTCGCACTACTATAGCTCGAATCAATGGTGATAAACGGTTGAGCAATAAGAGAGGACTGAGCCCCGCTGATATCAAACAAGCCAGGCTACTCTACTGTGAACCGCCTACCAGTCCTCCGCGACCAGCTACACGCCCACCTACAGGTTAGCCGGGGAACATTGATTTCTGTATTTTGTTGTAAATGTTTAACATTAAAGTAGGACTGTGCAAACTCCAAAAATTGTTTGTGTATCAAACTGTACGTCAAAAAAAATAAATATTGCCTTTGAAATCAAGGCCAAGTACGTGTTATCTATTACTGTGTACCTAACACGCTTCTCTCACGAGTTGTTTTTCATGGGGTATGTTGTACATCTGATTATAAACCTAGATGTGAACCTTGAATTTGAAAAGAAGAATTCTTTCCTCGCTTCAAACTCATAGTACCCGCGATAAGCAGGATTGCAGGAGCCCCCCTCGATGGCGTTGCTTCCAAGCCCCTTTTCCTAAGTCCCACCATGCCTTATTTTCGGCGTTTGACGTCAAATTTATTCTTTTCAAATTTATTAGTTTTAAATAAAATTGAAAACAAATTTGACGCGAAAAGAATAGTTTTGACGTTAAATGCTGAAAATAAAGCATTGTTTATTTATTAAAGGGATCTATCAGGTCGGGTTCAAAAAAAAATTTTGATCTMGATATCTCCATTGAAAGTGCCATAATTCATAATAGTACTTATGTTTACTAAAACGAGATGCCTATCTAAGTGCATCGACATTATTAGATTACTACACTAATCTACTTCAAAATAAGTCTACAATTGATTTCGGTCCCAGATTTCCRATCTCCGAACTTTTTTTTCTTCAAAAAAGTATATAGGTCAAGGGCGCTAGGACAGACCGATTGGGTTATATATAGACCTATATATGTGTGTGTTCAAGTTGTTTCAGTTAGATACTGAATGCATAGTTCACTGACTTATCTTTCCTGGTTCTCGGTAAAAAACGCTCGRGGGTCGGTTCATATGGCTATGGTATTTATCTCTCTTATATTTRCTGACATGTCTATGATTTTACTTTAAGGCTGTTCTCACAGAGACTTCAGTTCCACGTGTAGTTACTGGGCAAGAAGAGGATTCTGCTCATCTAGCAGTTCTCACTATTCAAAGATGCTTAAATACTGCAAAAAGACATGTTTTTGCAGTAAACGATCTGGTAAGTTAATCATAATGATTTTACGAGCAGTTCGGCATTCTTGTCGKGTTTGGCGTTTACAATTATTTCTCAGACTTGTTATTATCTTACTGCGACCTCTACTTTAATTCCAGACCCTGGTAAAGTTTTGTTGGACGGAAGCCAGGACAAATAAATGCTTGYTGCGACTGACCTTTCTCTGTCTCAGAAAACTGAATAAAAGCGCGTTCTAATCAGGGGGAGGGACAGGGGGGGCTTTTTGAGGTGGACGAATTTTATGAATACGCAGCGACTATATTTAGCACAAGCGCAGACACAATTGAACATGTGTTACACTTTTACATCTCCGTTCAATGATATATGTTTCTCATTTGTTTCCCAGTTGTTTGTAAGGACAAAAACAAAAGCTGTGCTTATTGGAGTAAACKCGGATACTGCAGGACACGCACCACCATCAACTACATGCGAATCAACTGTAAAAAGAGCTGTCGACTGTGTACAGTCCATAACACACGCCGAATATAATATATAATAATGTTCTGTGCTTCAAAAAGCATGATCATCAGAATCTTGAAGAAGCTGAAACAGTGAGCCAGTAAAAAAAGGCGGAATMGAGAATAACAAGGAGACTTTCCTCCGAGAATTGAATGCCTTACTCCAATGCTTGCTGCTGTCAGTGCTGCAGGTGCGCGTGTTCTAAGTATATAGTACAGTACAGTCATCACTTATCGGTATCTGTAAGCACTAGGATATGAAATACATAAAATACTGATATAAAAGGAAATATAACATGTACATAGAAATAAAACGCCACAGAATCGACTATRTATTTATATCTATACATAAATATATTTTTATTAACTATATTCATATGAATAAAAAATTCTTAGCATTGTACTGTACTGTTCAGCATTTCTACATAGCGGGTGATCAGGGGACCATAGAGAACTAAGGAAAAGTAAACTAAATGTGCCAGCGTGATTATGCTGCCTAAAGTCCCAGATCCACACCGAATTTCGGCTCCAATCCGTAAACAGGATAAACATTAGGAAAAAATCACAGGTAGCCCAATCCCCTAAACTAATGGTATATGTTTTGTGTCTACAGTAGTCTTCTTATTGTCTTTCACGCCGTTGCGTTTCGTGAC